TGTGGATTCAAATTCAGCGTTAAAATTTAATTATTAAAAATTTCAAATTTTACTTTGCAGTGGTTTTTCAATACTTATTTACTTACGAAATAAATTGGACAAGAAGCATTTATTTAACTCACCTGAAACAAAAAGAAAATATTTTTTATTAGAATTATTATTAAAAAAAATTAAAAATGATGCCAAATAAAAATTTCTATTACATTATTTCTATTAATTATTCTTAAATAATAATTTATAAAACTATAATTCTACAGGTTTTTTGCTTTTTCTGAAAATTTTAATTAAATTAAACTTAACTATAATAATTTGAATGTTCCTTCATTAATTCACTTTTTCTGTCCCTCACACTCTGAAGTTGTCTTTTGTTTATACTTTTGTTTTTTGTTATCTTTAGATAGATTGTATATTATATTATTATGTTATAATTATTTGTATTTTATAATTAATTCAAAATTGTAATGACAAATAGAAATCATCAGAATTTTTTCACTTTTTTTATTAAAGAACTAAAATTTTGTTAAATATTATGTTTTTTTAAATTGAAATTATGCAGTTTTTTATTCTTTACTTTTAAACAAAATTAGAAAATTGTTAAACAACTGTGATTAAGAAAAAGAAAATTTATTTATTTTGCATTATTTTTGTTTATGAATCACAATTTTTTTAACAAAATTATTATTCTGTTTTAGAAAAGAAGAAAAATATTTGCACAATTTCTATTTTTAATCTTATTTTTGGAACAGGATTTTCCACAGGAATTAAGACATTCAAAAATTTGAAATTCGAACCTTTTTTAAATTAAACAATTTATAAAAGTATTGTTATAAAACATGAAGATATCGATTGCTCCGAGTCTAAGACTCGGAGTGATCGATTTCTTCATGTTTTCTGATAATTAAAGATGACCGAGAGATAAAATCATTATTTTATATCATAAGAATATTGTTACTATAACTTTATTAAAATTATTTTCATTAATTTAATTCAATTATTATTTTCTAGAATTTAAAATTATTTTTTATGAAATTAATAATTGAATTCCTAAAAAAAATTTATTATTTATGAAAATTAATAGAATTTCTGTGAAATGTGTATTATTTATGAGAATAATTAAATGTTTGCATACAATTTTATTAAAAATTTTTTTAAATAATTGAATTCTTTTTGGGAAATTTTATTAAAATAGTAGATATTGAAAATCATTGAAATTAGAAACATTTTTGAAAATAATTGAAATTAGGACAAGAATTTTTTTGCCATTTTTGAAAATAATTTAACTTTGGAGAAGAATTTTGTTATTTATAAAGATAATTGGGATTTTTACGAGAATTTTTTTCAAATTTTGAACATAGTTGAATTTTATAAGAAGAATTTTATTTTTTTTTGAAAATAATTGAATTTCTGCAATTATTTGTAATTTCTTCAAAATTGAATTTTTTTAGTGTTTTCAACAAAAATTTTAATTAGAAAATTTTTAAATTCTATTATTTTTAAAATTGCTGATTTTATTTAAAAAAGGCAGCAAGAAGTTAGCCGCACGCTTTATAGCGCGCGAATTATTTCTAGTTACCATTTAATTAGAATAAATTTTTGAGGTACAATTTGAGCAATTTTACTTTCGACATTTTGAATCATCGAAACGTAAAATTGAATGAAGGGAAAAAAATTCGAAGATTAAGAAATAATTTTCTTCTTCGATATGGTATTTATCAATTTGAAGAAAAGACGTTCTAATCTTTTTGTATATAGAAAACGAACGTGATTCCTTGTCAAGAACACCAATTGGCGCTGAAGTTCGAATTAGCGAGACTTTAACGCTAATTGCTTTCAATTTCAAGTTTCGCCGTTGGACCCTCGTGATTTTCTGTCTCTTCCAAGGTTCAAGCCTCCTCTTTACTGGGCATGATTTACTAAGACGATTTTGCTCAATTAAGAGGAATCGAATTTAGTTGAGAAATTGCACTCAAGCTGGTAAATCAAATTCGGTAGCTTGCAAATTCTAATTTAATTATAATATTCCCGGTACATTTTACAATTTTTTTCCTCATCTTGAACTTATAAAAAGAAAGACACTTTTTTTTGAAAAATGTTTCCTCCCTTAAATACTCACTTCCCTTGAATCACAATTTCTCAAATAAAAAAAAATTGTTAATAGCACAAATTCGAATCAAAATCTTAATTTCACAATTTTCTTGAAAGGATCAAATTGATGTCAAAAATTTAAATCAATTTTTGGATTTGATCCACATTTTTGGTATTATTTCGTTGCAACTTGATACTATGAAGTTAACGCAGTGTTTCAGTAAGTTTGATCTCTTCAATTTCCAATATTTTTATTTATTTAAATTTTTTCGTTTTAAATTTATATTTAGATTCAATATACAGATATATTTCAGAAAGGGTGTGGAAAAAAATAATTGTACTTTCTCCTTTTGTTTGAAAATGATTGTTTGAAAACATTTTTACACTCTTGATACACAGTGGGCACTTTATCAAGTGAAAATTTTCACCGCCTTTGGTTAGAAACTCTCCTTGTGGGAAACTGGCAACTGCCACATGGAGTGCGAAAAAGTTTTCATCGTTCCCTGTGAAACAAATAGATCTTGCTTCCCTAAAATATGATATAGTGTCGAGTCGTAAATCGACTCCGAGTATACAACATTTGAAAATCTCCCAAGAATGGCTTATCTTTCATAATCCAGAATGTAAGACACTGGGCGGAAATTTTCTTAACTATCTTACACGCGCCATTTATTCCCTCTCTTTAATGCCGGTGGGTCGCGCAGTATTTTCTCTTTTTATCTGAAAAACATTTTTTTTAAATTCTACCAGAAGATTTGAAAAAGATTTTTTAAATTTTTTTATTTTTAAATATTCAATATTAATTAAAATTCTAAAGATAATAAAAATTTGTTCATCTGGGTTGTAACAGGTCACGGAAAGTAGAATTTGTCAGGGAAATCAGTGAAAAGTTCGGGATTATTATTAAAAGTACTGAAAAAAATTAAATTAAAAAAATTAAACACTATGAATTTTGGTGTCTTTTTTAATTGATTCATAAACTATGAAATTACCATGAATTCTAATACGAAACCTTCAATTTTTTCTATTTCTAACTCTGATTTCTTTATAAATATAACTTAATTCTTGAAGAACTGTCAAATAATTATTACCTTTAAATTATTTAACGAATAATTTTACTTAAATATTTCAAAATTAATTGAATTTTAAAAGAGTTGCGTTTACAATTTTCTTAAATAGATGAACTTCAAAAGGTTTTAATTTGAAATTTTAGAATATTTCAATCTTGAATTCATTTCATTAGAAATTTTAAAGACCTTAGATTTTTGAAAAATTTAAATAATTCAAATTCCTTCAATTTGTTAATTTCAATTTAAGTTCAATTTTTTAATATTACATCTAATTGATTATTAAAAATTATTGATTCATAGAAGAATTTTAGTTCAAAATACTAAAAAAAAATTAAATTTTGGAGAAAGTTACAAATTTAATTATTTTAAAAATTACCAAATTTCTTCGCCGAAATTCAATTATGTTTAAAAATTTTTTAAATAATTCTCGTCAAAATTTCAATTATCTTTATGAATAATAATATTTTTCTCCGTTTAATTATTTTTAAAAATTTTAATAAAATTTTCCAAAAGCATTCAATTATTTAAAAAAAATTTTGATAAAATTCCATAAAAACATATAATTATTTTCATTAATAATACTAATTTCTCTAAAATATTCAATTATTTTAAAAGTTTTTCGAAAGAATACAATTATTTTCAAAAATTCTACTAAAATTCTTCTCAGGAATTCAATTATTTTTAGTACAATTTTTATAAAATTTTTCAAAATAATTAAATTCTTTTTAGGAATTCTATTATTTTCATAAATAATAAAACTCATCGCAGAATTTTAATTACTTTTAATACAATTTTAATCGGATTCCTCGAAAAATGTAATTATTCTTAAAAATTTTATTAAAATTCGTCGCAAAAATTCAATTATTTAAAAATTCTTTATGAGAATTCAATTTTAAGTAACATTCAATTGTTTAATAAATACAAATAAATATTTTTGTATTTAAATAATTGAATTCTTGTAGATATTTCTTATAAAAATTGAATTTCAGTTAAAATTTTAGATAATAATTGAATAAAAACACATTCTAGCCTGAAATTTAGAAATAATTAAATTTTTAAAAGATTTCAAATGAAAAGCTTTGAAAACCTGAATTTTTCATACTTTTTCCTAACGCAATTCTGTATAACTGATTTTTTTGAAAAAATTTAATTGAATTTTTTTTAAACGATTTGAAGTTTTTTTAAAAATAATTTTCTAATATTTCTAATTTTCTAATACATATTTAATCGAAGCAAATGGATTTGAAAATTCTCAAAGAACTTTTTTAAAAATTATTAAAAATAATTGATTTGAAGAAGAATTTAAGTTAAAAATTCTAGAAAATAATAATTGAATTGAAGTGATGAAAATAATTTTGAAGAAGTTACAGTAGAAATATTCTTATACCTAATATAAAATAATGATTTTATCACTCGGTCATCTTTAATTTTATTACAAGCTATTGAATTTGAACTTTTTGAAAATCTAAATTCCTATGTAAAAATAATAATGAATAAATAATTATTTAAAAATGAAGTTATTGATGTTTTCGATTCATTAAACAATTAAAGAAATTCGTAATAAACGTAATAGAACATTTTTTTGGTCTAATAATTTTGAGAGTGAATCAAAATATTTTTTAGGATCAAGGAAAAAGACAAAATTTTGTCTGGAAATCAGAGAAAAGTCAGGGAAAAAAAAGATTAAATTTTTGTATCCATTCCTGTTAATTAAATTATCTTTATCTTTATCTTAATCTTGATAATAAATATTTATTCGTGTATTTAAAGTACCATGGTAGTAAATATTTGTTTATTTATTAATTTCAATTTCTTGATAATAAATATTGGCTTTTCTGATTTCAGGTAAGCATTGTACAATGTGTGCATGTCATTGATTTCTACTTAGATAGTGCGATCGTAGGCGTCAAGGAGGACCAGGTACCAATTATATTTTCCTAATTATTAATCAATTAATTAAATAATTAATCGATTAATCAACTATTTAATGTAAGTTTTACTACTTCTTAGGGTTCCGTTCACCAAGCGATCGCAAATGAAAACCTTATGGTTTTACTCGCAAATAATTACTCGCCTTCCAAAATTAGCCATTTTGACCTAGATGGTGGAAATTTGGTATAAAAATGTATCATCACGTGTAACATACCTAAAAAATATAAAGAATCCCTTTTGAAATAAACTGAAATAAATTTTAGGATAAAGTTGAAAAATTCAGATAAAAGCATTTCCCTTATTTATTTTTTTTACCAATTCTGACCTGAAGTGTTGAAATTTGGTAGCAACTTTTATTTTAGCCAGTAGATTTTGGGAAAAATATAACGAACTTGATTAGAATTTGTTTAAATAATCTTTTTTCAGGAAAAAACCGAAAGAAATTTAGAACAGCGCTTCCCTTATCCCTATTTTTACATTTTTTTGTGTACAGGACTGAAACTTGGTACAAATTTATATTTACACTTATAGATAACGCGAAAAATTCAGCAAACTCGTTATGGAATTAATTGAATAATTTTTTTAAAAGAAATAACGGAAAATTAGAAAAAATGCTTGTAGCCAACTTCTCTTCTAATTTTGACCTAGTGTGTTGAAATTTGGTAGAAATATGCATTTAACGTGATGTAGATATCGCGACAAATATGTCGCACTCGATTGAAATTGAATTTGAAATTATTATTTAAAGACAAAAAACGTAAAACATATTGCACTTTCCATTTAAATTTAAATGGACCTGAACGGAACCTTAATTATTTTATAAATTTATTAATAATTGTCCTTCTTTATGATTTTTAGTATGTTTATTATTACTGAAACTATTAATTTTTATATTTTTATCGAAATTTAGTTTAAGTTAATTAAAATAAAATTTAAGTTAATTGAAGTTTTCTTTAATTTCTTAAAGAATGTGTGACAATTTTAGAAAGCGTGATGTAAAATTTTTAAGGGGCGAATAAATGGAAGAAAATAGGGACAAAAAATTTCTTTTTTACCTTTTACATTACCTCTAAGTGTACACATTAAGAAAATCACTATCTTTCATTTTTCACTTCATAACACGAGGACAATAACGAAATAGACCCTTTGCCATTGTTGCCTCTTGTGCAAGGCATCGACTATATCTCTCTTGACGCCCTTGTCGATAATTTTTTTTCCCTTCATTCCAACATTGAAAGACATTTTCATCCCCCTACTCGACAGTATATACACAAAAACCTTAAGGCGACACTTTTTACAAAAAATTGTCCTTTCTCTCCACAATTAAAATTTGTCAAATTTACAACGATTCGAAAGAAAGTAAAATTTGAACATAATTAAATAAATCTACGATTTGTATTTAGGTTTTTAAAATTAAATTGTTTCAAACTTTTTAAGAGAATTTGTTTCTTTTCTATTTCTATTCGTTCTATTCTATTTATTAAATAATTTCCAAATAGATTCAAATTTTCTATAAATTAACTTTTTTCCTTCGATTACATTGATTTAATGATTGATTATAATTTTCTATTTTTCTAACACTTTTTTTTCATTTTTTACGAGATTAAATTAGCTGTAAAGTTTATAGAAAATTTTGTCGTTATTGTTTCTTATGATTATGCGAAACGACGTTAAGAGATTGTTTACAACGGAGAAATTCAATAAGAAACCCCATATATTTCTTTGCTTCGCATTTATATGATAATGAAGAAAATTTATCATGGAATATAAGAATCCTCATTGACACATATATTTTAAAGTAGGAGAAAAAAAAATTACATTCTTCACTGAATTGAAATAAATTCCTTTCATAGATCGTAAATTTTGCCTATAGTTCATTCTAATTAGTTATCGATTGTATTTTTATATATAAAAATTATATAAAATAATATAATAATATCTTTATTGAATTCATACACAAAAGAATAATGTTGAATAGATTATATAAATAAATATGAAAGAATATTTATTAAATGTTATAAAATCAAGAAAAAAATGGTGAATATTTATATAAGTAAAGAGAACTTTGAGAAATATTTATTTTCCTTCTCTTTTTCACTTTTATAAATTTGTATTTTTGATTTTATTTTCACTTTGATAAATGTTTGTCACTTTCAATTTCATTTAAACTCTGTATCAAAGTGAAAACGAAAGTAAATGTGAAAATAAAAATAATCGAGTTGAAAGTTGAAATAAGATAAGTTAAAAATACAAAAGTGGTAGAAATAAATAGAAAAATAGAAAAAATAAAAATACTTACAAAAGAAGTAAAAATAAATACAAGAATAATAGAAATAAATAAAGAAAAAAGTAAAAATAATTTGAAAAATATTTCAATATACAAAGTAAGTAAAAAGAGAAAAAAACACTACTGTCGGAAAAGATTAAAATTTCCTGACCTAATCTAAAAAAAATCGTTGGCAGTATGACAATGAATACTATACCCCCAATGCTCCTATTGTGAATTCTGACAAAGATGCGGAGGCGCACACTTCATATTCCGCTTGATGCTGGGATGAGGCAAAAAAAAAGAAAGAATAAAAAAAGCAGGAATAAAAAAAGCGAAGGGAAGTAGAGAAGGAAAAAGAGAGCTAGAGAAATAGAATCGGCAAACGAAAGAAAGAAGAGAGAAAATCTTCTCCCTATGGCAGAGCCTTTCATTGTAACATGAAAATCGATTCTTGGATGCAAAAGCTCTTGGTGTGGGACAAGCGTTTTGTAGATGGTGTAAATCTGCCTTTTTCAACTTAATGCATTTTGCGCTGAAAGAATGAGGAATTAATGGACCATAATAGTTGAGAAGGAACTTCATACTTATGCAGCACCTTTTGCAGTGAACACTTTGTTTTTGAATTGCGCATATGTATACTCACGCATGTTCTGTTCAAATTTAAATGAAACCGATTTTTATGGGTGAATTTACTTCTTACTGAATTCAATTAAAAATTAATTTTAAAATTTTAATTATCAACAATTGGCGCTCTTAACTTCTTACTTACTTTTTCTTAAATAAAATTAACAATTTTAAAATTAATAGAATTTTGAAAATTTTTAATTCAAATTTTTGTTGAAAATACTAAAAAAAATTCAATTTTAGAGAATTTACAAATAAATTGCAGAAATTCTATTTTTTTTTGAAAAGTAATATAATTCTTCTCATAAAATTCAAGATTACAGGACAAAAAATACAATCCAAAAAATCCAGACCGAAAAATCCAAGAATTTAAAAAGTCCAAAGTACAAAAAATTCAAAATAAAAATATCCAAAGTAAAAAAAATCCAAAATAAATAAAAACGTCCAAAATAAATAATGAAACATGTGAAAAAGCCACGTTTTTACTTTTTACGCTATAAAATTAGAATTTAAAATGTTAATATTAAAATCAAAGGATTTTCAATATTTACATAAATAATAAAATTCTTCACAAAAATTGTATTATTTACATAAATAATAAAATTCTTCACAAAAATTGTATTATTTACATAAATAATAAAAATACAAAAAAATTCACAAAAATTCAATTATTTTCAACAATTTTGATGAAATTCTTAACAAAAGATTCAATTATTTTTTCAATATAATTCCAATTTGATTGCTCAATTAATTTAATTATTTTCAGAAATTTTAAATGTTCAATCTATCTACTTTTTAATTCACAGTCATCGAAATGAGCAATTTAAAAAAAAGGATAATTTCATTCAAGGGTCAACCATTTAAATTTTTTTATCTAAATTTTTTTCATTAAATTTTTAATATTTTTGGATTTTTTGTACCAGGACAAAAAATCCAAAAAATAAAATTCTAAAGTCAAACTATTTTTTTTTTTTTTACTATTTTAGATTTTATTTACTTTGGATTTTTTAGTTTGGACTTCTTGTCCGTATACCAAAATTCAATTATGTTCAAAACTTAAAAAAAAATTCTCTTTAAAGTCTTAAAAATCTTTATAAATAACAAAATTCTTCCCTAAAGTTAAATTATTTTCAAAAATGTCAATAAAATTCTTGTTTTAATTTCATATTATTTTAAAAATTTTTTCTCATTTCAATGATTTTCAATATCTACTATATTTTAATAAAATTCCCTAAAAAGAATCACTCTGAAGTTGTCTTTTGTTTATACTTTTGTATTTTGTTAACTTTAGATAGATTGCATATTTTATTATTATCTTATAATTATTTTTATTTTATAATTAATTCAAAATTGTAATGACAAATAGAAATCATCAGAATTTTTTTCACTTCTTTTCATTAAAAGACTAAAATTTTGTTAAATATTATGTTTTGTCAAATTGAAATTATGCAGATTTTTGTTGTTTACTTCTAAACAAAATTAGGAAATTGTTAAACAATTATGATTAAAAATAGAAAATTTATTTATTTTGCATTATTTTTATTATGAATCACAATTTTTTAAACAAAATTATTATTTTGTTTTAGAAAAAGAAGAAAAATATTTGCACAATTTCTATTTTTAATATTATTTTTGGAACAGTAATTAAGACATTACAAAATTCCAAATTAAAAACTTTTTGAAATTAAAAAACTTATAAAAGTATTGTTATAAAACATGAACATATTGATTGCTCCGAGTCGAAGACTCGGAGTGATCGATTTCTTCATGTTTTATAATAATTAAAGATGACCAAGTAATAAGATCATTATTTTATATTATAAAAATATTGTTACTGTAATTTCATCAAAACTATTTTCTTCATTTTAATTCAATTATTATTTTCTAGAATTTTAAATTATTTTTATGAAAATAATTAAATTCCTTAAAAAAATTTATTATTTATAAAAATAATTGAATTTCTGTGAAATTTTTATTATTTATGAAAATAATTAAATGTTTGCATAAAATTTTATTAAAAAATTTTGTAAATAATTGAATTCTTTTTGGGAAATTTTATTAGAATAGTAGACATTGGAAATCATTGAAATTAGAAAAATTTTTGAAAATTATTGAAATTAGTTCAAGAATTTTGTTGACATTTATGAAAATAATTGAACTTTGGAGAAGAATTTTGTTATTTATAAAGATAATTGGGATTTTTACGAGAATTTTTTTCAAATTTTGAACATAGTTAAGTTTTATGAACAGAATTTTATTTTTTTTGAAAATAATTGAATTTCTGCATTGTAATTTCTTCAAAATTGAATTATTTTTAGTGTTTTCTACAAAAATTTAAATAAGAAAATTTTTAAATTTTATTATTTTTAAAGTTGCTA